CAAATGAATTAGAAAAATCAAATCTTTTATTTTACTCTTAAAATTTTTTTAGCTTGCCAATCCCCGGCAAAGGCGCCAAAAACTTGGTAGGTTATTTTACAAACCCTTAGACTTATAAAAGTAACCACAAATCAAGTATACAATATGGTCCAATATCGTCTTTTTCAAGAAATAAAGTGTTAAAGTACTGGTTATCGTCCACGGAGATTCTAGTAAAAGTCTAATAAAAGGTTAATGAAAGAAATGATTTCAGATGATGAAATTGAAAAATTTAATTGGATCAGAGTTAACACTACTGGAATAACATAATATATAAAGATAGCATGGGTGTAAGACTTGTGGTGAGACATAAACACAAATTCCAGCAGAAAATGCTATTGGAATGCAAAACAAGCAGCCAGCCATAACTACTTCTACCATTTATTTTGAGGGTATTCCTCTCGGACTTCCACCATTGCACTATATTATAGCTTTCAACCCATTTATCTATGAGGTGTCAAGACCAGTGAGAGTGACAAAATGGTATCCTCAAAATATATGGTTAAACAAATCTCTTTGTTAAAAATCACTCTTTCTAAGACCATGGCATTTTACTTTCAAAGTGATCAAGTTGTCAAGAAGTGTCCTTGGTTTTTATAAAACTTGAATAAAACAGTGGAACGTTATTATTGCGAAACAACGTGCACTTTCCTTCGGTTTAAAATCTCACTCTTTGTGTCTCACCTAAGCTAATGGAATTAGCTACTCACTATGGAAAGTAAATGACAAGGAATATAAAGAACAGAAGGTAAAGACATAAATATAAATGACGGAAAGTAAATGACTGAATGTAGCGAGCGGAAAGTAAATGACAAAGAAAGTAAATAAAGTAAAGACAAGATCAATGTTGCAGCAATATAACTTAAAGAACAATTTTTAAAGAAATTCAAGAACTAACTTGAATATTGAAAGTAACTTCATATATGAATTTGATTAGAGGATGCATATGATGAGTTTCAAGGGGTCTTATTTATACTAAATAGGGGAAGAAAAGACAAAATCCTTGGAAAGATAAGATTCCTCAAAAGGAGACAAAAAGGTATAAAAGTAAAAAAGGGATAATCACATCAAGTACACAAAATACTTTTTCTAGAGTCTTCTTGCAGGTCATCAGTCTTTGGACAAGAGTTCACTAAAAATTGTCCTTATCTTCATACAACAGCTGAATTCACAAAGCTCTTCCAAAAAGCTGCATCCTAAAGGCCAATGCTTGAGAAATGCAGCAACACAAAACAGTAATATACAAGTAAAGATTTAGCCATTCTAATGGTGTAAAGACAAGTAAATCACTTAATTTAGCTCCATGGATAAACAAATGGTAAATAATGTAATAAAACGGACTCAAGGTTGGGATGAAAGAAAATAAACTACATAAAAGTAAAGAAATAGGTGCTTTATGTCTTCAATAACCAATGCATATCAACTACCTCGGAACAAAAATGGTGGTTTTGTATCCGAACCTATAGCCATAGCTTCTCTTGAAGACATTATTCTAAATTGTTAAAACATTGTAGACCAACTCTTCAAACTATTTCAGAAAATAAACTCAAAAACCACTTTATCGCATCCACAAGTTTATCGCCGTCAAACTTAATGAATTTGCCGCACCTTATTGCATTAAACAGTTTGTCGCACCCTTCTTGAACTTCTTATCGCACCCAAAAAAATTTCCGCACTCAACAACTTGTCGCACCCAACAGTTTGTCACATCCAACAGAGCGTGAACAGTAACTTATCGCATTGAACGGATACGATCACTTGAGGTTGTCGGGTCTTGAGCATGCCAGGAAGCTTGGTTGTCGGGTCCTTGTAATGCGATAAAATAACTTCTTGGGTCCTTGTAATGCGATAAAGTAACTTCTCGGGTCCTTGTAATGCGATAAACTTGACTTATCGCATATAACTGATGCGATAACTATGAATAGGTATTATGCGGCAACTATGAAAATCTTGAATATTTCACTACAGATTTCGATTTTCCACTCAAAAGTTATCCAAACTCTTTCAATTTTGAGTATGTAGATAATCAAAGCCAAATAACTTTAATTCTTGAATAACTAACAAGAATTGAGTAAAAAGATATCAAAATTCAAAATCAAGAACTCACAGTCGACATCTTCAAAATTCGATTTTGAAACAGCTTCAAATGGTTTATCTTTTACTCTGATATCAATTGATTTCCCAGATTTAATGAATAGAAGAATGATTAATAATGTAGCAATCAAGATCTTGAGAAATATGTTTGTATTGATTGAGAGAATTGCAATACAGAAATTGAAAGTGAAAGTAAGGCCGGCATTTTGACTAATCAATCATTTAACCTAAGACTAGAATATTAGAAAACTATTTATACCATAAGATGTTTAAACAATCAGCCCCTCCACTTTAATACAACAAAAATATAAACACAACAGAACATTTGATGCTAGAATAATTAAGAATAATTTGTGATTTCTTTAAAATAAAGATTGATTGACCATGTTAATAGATCAATTGAATTCTTCCATCTGGATGGAGAATAATCAAATCTGAGATTCATCTCACAATTTATTAAAGTTATAGATCCGATAGTGACTAAGATCTGAAACCTTGAGCTAATAAGTTTCTTTCTTGTGTAAGGTTCAGATGTTAATACACTTGTGTCATATTCAATAAATGTTGTGTATTGGATATGAAAATTACAATGCAAATAAGAAAATTTCTTTTAAATGTTTAATCAAATGCTAGTTGTATTATTTTACAAATTTGATTGTTGAGACTAACACCGAGTCTTTATGAGTCTTGTGTTGTTACCCGATAGTGTAGTACACGAAGACTACGACTTAATGGTGTGCCTTCTCTAAAGACCGAGTTTGTTAGGGATTATTGGGATCTTTGGTTACAACCCACTTGGGGTAAAATATGGTAGCCACTAAACCCAATAAGTTGTTGAGTGTCTAACTTCTGTGTTCCACCATATATAATGGAAGCGAGTGTCCTATGTATCAGAATAAGTTGTTTGATATTTTATAAAAGAAAATGGGATCCTTCAGAGGAATGAAGTTGGTAATAGCACTTCTGTCGAAAATTTCATTTTAAATACCTCCTTCTTATTTCATTTTATATATATTATATACATAACTGCTTAAATTAACTAGACATTAAACCTAACACTTCTTCTTATTTCCATATATAACAGTTCCAAGTAGTGACTAGCCAAAAGGTTAGCGAGATTGGCTTAGGTGTTGTCTAGTGATACAGACTGAGTTTGTATTTTTCGAGGTGTCATCGTTCTTTTATAGGTAGCAAACGTTGGTGGTTGTAGTAACCTCATCTTATATCTAGTTCTGATTAGAACCAGTAGAACTTATATTACGTTGATATTCATCTTGATCTTCATAGTTTTGTAAACATTGGTACCTCATGTGGGTAGAACTTATATTTTGAGTAACCTGCGGTATTTTACCGTTATTTAAATTCATTGCTATTTTCAAACTTTTTAGGTGTGTTACAGATCCTCGACCATCCATCGTTGATCATCGACAAATTACCTACGGATACTTTTTATACGACCAAACAATAAATCGTCCTAACATAAAGTGTTACTATCATTTTGTAAGATACTTTTGGACGTTTCAATAAGTTTTTAGAACATTTTTAAAATAAAATGCCATATTAGCTATTTTATTGAACAATTCTAAGAAGTGCATTATAAACACATTTTTATAATACACATGTGTTTATATACCATTTTTTCAAACTCTATCTTATAAAATAGCTAATATGACATTTTTATTGAACAATTCTAAGAAGTGCATTATAAACACATTTTTATAATACACATGTGTTTATATACCATTTTTTCAAACTATATCTTATAAAATAGCTAATATGACATTTTACTTTAAAAATGTCTTATAAAAAACTTGATAGAACGCCCAAAATCGTCCTATAAACATATTATAACACTTTCAGATAAGTCGTTTTATTATTCATTCATATAAACTTAATTTCTATAAAACATTTTATTATGACAATTAAACATCTTAAGTATCTTATAAATCTATATTTGTTGTATTATGGGTTTTAGACACCCCAAACTTGTAAAAAAAATTTAGTTAATTACAACATGATTAGTCCCTTATTTGGAACGTCTTTTACATATAGGCCAAAAATAAAGTGGTAGGTAAAATATGGTAATAAGGAGTATATGTAGCAAAATTTAACCCTATCTTCTTGATTAAGACAAGCAACCAACTCTTATCTTTCACATTTTCGTACATCAATAATCACATGTCTTCCTCTTGAAAATCAATTTTACCCACCCTCCTTTTTCTTTTAAGTACCAAATCAATAACTTCAATTTATTTTCATATTGTCCTTAAATACGTTTATGAAATACCATATTTTACAAGGAGGGGTTCATTTAAAATATAATTTTTTATTAGAAATATACATACATCCATAACTCCGAATCTATAGTTGCGTGGTTTTAAAAACGTCATATGAGAATGGTTTAAACGGCGTTGATCGTCTTTGATTTTTTGCCACGACACAAGAAAAAGTGGATCATAAGTTCTTTGATTTCGTTAAAAACCAATTTTGATACGAATCGTGTATCATTGCAAGTATTTGTGAGTTTGTAATTTGGGAATCGAAATATATTTTTGGAAAGCGTTGATTTTCTTTGGTATGCTCTGAAGACACACTAAAATTTTAAATGATCATCGAATGGTTGATGACTTATCCATTAATTTTAAATACTCATCAAAAGTGAGAATGGACAATCTCTGTTTATATACTTGAAAAACAACTAAAAAGATCGGTCGGAACAAATTAAAACACATCAAATTATTTACTGATCAATGCAATTACGTAAAGAAAATTTTGAAAGCAATAATATATATATATATATATATATATAGAGAGAGAGAGAGAGAGAGAGAGAGAGAGAGATGGCACTGCCTCTATCCTGGCTAGAGAACTCAAGAAACAACCAAATTAAATATGAATAGAACCAAACTGCAAACAAGAGGCACAGCCGGAGAAAAGGCTGCTGATGAGGCCGGAGTGGTGGTGCTGGTTGATGGGGTAGGTGTAGGCTTGGCGGTCCCAGATGGAGCTGAGGAGGCTGCGGTGACCGGAACGGAGACCTTCATGCCACCGCTACAATGGCCAGCCACACCGCAAATGAAGTAATGAGTTCCGGTGGTGTTTAGAGCGATGGTGGTGGGGCCGGAAGTATAGGATGCGATGGCATTTCCGGCAGTGCAGGTACCATAGTCGCCTGAGCTCACTTCATCCACCGAGTGGGTACTTCCATAATTGAAGGCTAGCCCAATTACACACAAATTAGAAACAAATATTAATCATATATAATATATAATAAATAGAAGTTGTTAATTAGTAATGATCTTACAAAGGGTATCTCCAACTTGGAATGTTTTGCCAGAAGTCCAGGTTTTATAATCAACACCCAGTGACCAACCAGATGAGTCTCCAACTGTATAAACTTTGGCTAAACATGGCATACCACAACTCAATAACACTATCAACAACACAAACCCAACACCATTTATCGTCATTCTCTGTGTTTTTAGTGTGTGTTTAGAGAGAGAGAGAGAGAGAGAGAGATTATGCTAAATGGAAATGGGAAACTTCAGGTTTTATAAGGCTTAAAAAGTGGAAGATTAAGGTATATTTCACAGATTAACTAATAAGTTAGTGGGTATTTAAAAATTAAAAATTAGTTGTTGACTAATAAGTTAACTGATAAATTAATCACGTAAAACATAATATTGTTAAGGAGGGTTAATATGATGAGTTAAAAGTTATTGATTAAAACTTTTGTCTAATTAACTTAAAGTTAACCATAATAAATTCAATTGATAGAAAGAAAAAATGAAAGAAGAATTAAGCCGACAGATATTTAGCATTATGGTTTTTGTTTCATTAATTTAATTTGAACAATAACGGGTTAAATGTCATGTATCTGAACCGTCTAAAAAAGGCATGTGTTTGGATGAAATAGCTGATCATAACCTTTAACGACATCAATATGAAGAAATATTTTTTTACTCATTCAACGACTGAGACTAGCAAAAGGTCTGACATCAAACTCGTGACTTATTTTCTATTTACTATTTCTTTATCACCTGAACTAGATGTTAGATGCAAAAAAGAGTCATGTATTCAAATAGGCAAATAGATAAAAGGGTATTTTTGAATATTTTTATAAATTATATACTTATATACTAGTTTTGATAGTTGCTTATTTGAAACAACTTATGTTTTTCTACAAAAGCATTTAGTCAACTTATTATAAGTTAGAAGAGTTTAATTTCTACAAAAACTCCTTATCACCGGTTTGACACCGGTATAAATTGTTTATCCGAACACTTAAAAGTGCTTATTATTACCAGTATCACACCATAATAAATCAATAAATTATTTTTATAAGCAATCTCAAACACCCCTAAATAAAATATCAAATTGCTTTTTCCCTTGTTTCCTTATCCTAAACCTAGCATTGTTTCTATTAGTTAATATAACATTACATAAAATAATTTAAGTACTATATAATTGAAAAAATAAAAATAAGCATATATTTTTATAAGTACATAATCAAAATAAATATATAATGACAATTTCATCCACACTACTTTCATTTTCCCCGAAAAGGCAAATTATGGTTTAAAAGAATAATATGTTATTCTGAAAAACATACTCTGAAATTTCGGTTTATAAATTAATTTAGTTTTTAAATTTTATTGTAAAATAATTTTTTTAGATGATTATAGACTAGCTTATTGACATATTATCTGTAGTATTATTTTGATAAGCTCGGGAAACTTTTTGTCATTTTCTTTTAATTAACCTTTAAATTATATTAATTGTTATTTATTATTAATAAATAATAATTCAATATTAAATATAATATTTTCATTTGATATAAATTATTAATCATTTAGAATTACCATTACTTATTTTTTATATTTAGTCGATAAAAATATAAAAAATAAATATAACATGTCTAAAAATATTTTTATAAGAATTAATAAAATTTTGATAAAGAACTTTAATAAAATATTTAACTAAATTATTACTTTTTCTAAATAATTATTAGTTAATTAAGATATATAAAACTGATATATTTAATTTTAATTCAAGTATGGATGATATTTAAGTTAGGAGTTAAATGTAATTTGGTCCCCCTTGGTTTACAAAATTTAACGAGTAACGTCCTTCTACTTTCATTTTTATATTAAATAGGGTCCCTACATTTAACACCGTAAAATAAAGTGTCTTGGGGAAAGGGTAATTTTATACATTCATCCTTCATCAATCATCTTTCTCTAACTATTATTAGAGAATGCTAGTCTATAACATATATGGTCGTTCTTTGAATTTTAAATAAATAGTTAGATGCAAATTTCGTCCCTGTAGCTTACAAAACGTAACGAGTAACATCCCTCGAAGGATTAACATGAAACATGCTTATATACTAAACTATTTGTATTATAAATTATTTTATATTTTAATAGACCTAATAGTTTTATAAGCTAATTAATTAAGAAATACAAGGTTTATTTTCTATTACTTTTTTATATTTATTTATAATATAATATCATGAACAATCATGTGTTTTATTTTTTTATATTCATAAACAAACATTTTCAATATAATTTTTATATTATAAAGCAATTAAGTAAACTGAAATATAAAACAATTTATAATATTAAATAATACAAATAGTCTAGTAAACCATAAAGGTGGTGTTTGATTGGTTTAGGTTTGGTCTCCAAGGATCAAAAGTGTCTAGAGGTTCTAGGTTCGAATCTAAGGAGGAATAAAAATCTTCTTGTCGCTATGAGGGTTTAAATGTTGTGACTCTGACTACCCGCAAAGCGGATGGTCGTCCTGGGATTGGTTGGCTAGCATAGTGGGTTGAATATCCAAGTTAATAAAAAAATAGTTTAGTATTTAAAAATGTTTTATATTAATCCTTTGAAGGATGTTATTTATTATTTTTTTGAATCATAGGACCAAATATGCACCTAACTCTTTTTCAAAATTCAAACACGGACCAAACATGTTATAGACTAGCATTTTTTAATGGTTAGAGATAGGTGAAGGGTGAATGGACAAAAGTACCCCTTCTTAAAGACACTTCATTTAACGGTGTTAAATGCATGACCCTTATCAGTTATATAAATAAAAGTAGAGGGACGTTGCTCGTTAAGGATTCTTTTGAGAGACGTTACTCATTAAAATCTGTAAGTCATACGAACCAAATTTACATTTAACTCTAAAATATGTTATACTTTTTCGATAAACTAAATTTAATATTTAGAAAAATGATTGTTACAAGTAGTACAAATATAAAAATCGAACACTATCGTTGCTAATATGTGTTGTTTCATGATTATTTACTTTTTAATTTAACCCTTTTTTATGCTTTTATATATAAAAATCAAATATTATGATTCAAAGATATTAATATTATGGAAGGCGTCTCTATTAAGCAACCTCTAACCTTCGTTAATATTTGATAGGTTGGGCATTGAGTGTGTTGGTTGGTACAAAGGTAATGGGGTACTCCTCTCTCACTTTCTTTTCTCTCTCTCTCTCTATATATATTCCGAAGATTAATCAAGAACAAGATCAGAATAAAAAAACACAAATATAATTAAATTACGTGTAAAATTACATTTGATTTTCTGAATACGGTCAATATCGGGTTATCAAGCAACCTGACCCGCAAACCTAAAATTGTGATCGAAGTAGCGTGAATCACATGTGATTTTACACGTGAAATCACATATGATTTAACCATTCTCGGGTTTTCTTATTTGGTCACCACTCTCCTTTAAACCCAACTATATATATATATATATATATATATATATATATATATATATAACCATTCTCGTGTTCTCTTATTTGGTCACCACTCTTGTTTAAACCCAACCCTATACATATGGGGCATTTTTTTAAGATCTGTGAGATCCAATATAAACCACAAAATCATATTAAATTGGAAAATTAGTAAATTTGGTAATTTGAAATTAAAAAATTAAATAAATGGTGTTATTGGTATATGTAGATCTCCTATATCCTCTCTCCTCTCTTACCCCTAACTTTTCACCTATCCTTCATCTACCAAACACCTTCAATCACCATCACCCCATCTAACTTTGTGAACCTATGTGAACAACTTGTAATTATATCGTAATCATATCGTAAACAATCACTTTGTAAATTATGAACACAAGGTGAACACATTGTGACGGACTATGGATCTAAGAGATCCGACTTTTGAACACATTGTGTTTGGTTCCAGGTTTCTCAATTTCTAGATCTATTTTGAAAATATGAGCAGAAGCACAAATTAAGATCTAATAAAGGAAAAAAAATAAATAATGAAAAAGAAAAATATCACTAGTAAGATATAGTCATCATCATCATCTGTATTGATTGAAGAATGAAATATATCTGAATATTTTGATCTTTATGTCACTCACAACAATTATCTCTCAATTATGTGTGTAAAAAGTGTATTTCAAAAGCTTACAATGAACAAGGTATGAGTTGCTATTTATAGGCCTAAGAGGAGTAAGTCAATGCACTGTCCAATAAGGAGTGTTGCTGATCATCCCTCTCAGTGATTTGATGATAATCCCTTTTCCTTTCACGTTGTATTTGTGTTTCTGTATTTTCAGTTCCAGTGATCATCACTGAGTATGTTCAGTAATCGCGGAAGAACTTGTATTGTAAATTCATCAGAGACAAACAATACTTCAAGAAGACAACACTCACACCAAAGAACCTTCAGCGAACGTCAAAGACTGAAACTGAAGATTAGAGACTGGCGAGTACGTGATCTGAAGCGGTATTCAGTGATTACAAATCTGTCTACATATGTGTGAAGACTGCTCTAGCTTCAGCGAATGATGATGAGACCTCCAGGTCATCCCAGCCTTCAGCGATCAAAAGAAGCTTGCTTAGCACGATTGTTGTTGTCTTGTCATTTTGCACACAAAGGACAAACCCATACCCTTGCAAAAGTTAGTACGATACGAAGCCGATTAGTCGACTCTTTATCCACCAACTTTAGGCAAGGATGTCTGCTCAAGAATAGTGCCTTTGTACTATTCACTGTAGCAAAAGACAAGCCTTCCTCTTAAGGCTTGCCACGCACTCTAAACCTACCATATTGCATTAAATGTTCATTTAATGCACTGGGTATAAATAGAARTGTTTCTTCTCTTTGCAGAGTGCGCGCATCACTCTCCAACCTAATTCTTACTTCAAGCATCCTCTAGCTTAAGTAAAAGATCTTTAGCATTCTCTTTTCTTTGTTTGTTATAGTTTCGTGTGTAACCAAAGATTGTTTAGATAGGTTTTTCTTTACCTTATATTTCCGCAAACAGTCATGTAAAATCTGTATTGATCTTCTCTATCAATATATATTTTAAATGTGAAAACCTTGTGTTTGTATTCATCCCCCCCTCCTTCTACAAACTGTTTCTTATCTTGTAGACCCTTTCGGGACAAACAAGTGGTATCAGAGCAGTGTTTTCT